CTTTATTGTTTTCTATTTCATTGATTTCAACTCTTTTCATTATTGTTTCCTTCTTTCTTCTACTTAACTCTTGGTTTGCTTTGCTAGATTTTTTCCCTAGCTTCTTAAGATAGAAATATAGGTAATTTATTTTAGACCTTTATTCTTTGTAGTTTAAGTATTTCAAACTATAAATTTCCTTCCAAGCATTCATTTAGGGTCTGTCCCACAAATTTTGATTTGTCATACTTTCATTGTTATTCAGTCTATCTTCTAATTTTATTTCTTTTTTGTTTTTTTTTTTTGATGAAGATTAGCCCTGAGCTAACATCCGTGCCCATCTTCCTCTACTTTCTATGTGGGATGCCTACCACAGCATGGCTTGCCAAGCAGTGCCATGTCCGCATCCAGGATGTGAATCGGCAAACTCCAGGCTGCCAAAGCGGAACGTGCGCACTTAACCACTGTGCCACCTGGCCAGCCCCTTCTAATTTTCTTTTTGATTTCTTCTTTGGCCCATGTATTTAGAAAATGTTATTTAATTCCCAAATTTGTTTTTCTAGTTATCTTATTGTTATGGACTCCATTTTGGTAAGAGAACATATTCTTTATGATTTTAGTCATAAATTCATTAACACGTTTTGTGGATCAGCATATGGTCTGTCTTGATCAGTGTACCATCTGTGTTTGAAAAGGCTGTGTATTTTGTAGTTATTGGGTGTAGATGTTTAAATATCAATTGAATCAACATGGTTGGTAGTATTTTTCAAATAATCTATGTCTCACTGATGTTTTTGTGTAGTGTTCTGTCAGTTACTGAGAGAGAGGCTTTTATACCTCCAAGTGTGATTGTGGAAGTGTTTGTTTTCCTTTTAATTCTGTCAGATTTTGTATCATGCATTTTGAAGCTCTGTTATTAGACATAAACAAATTGCTCTTATGCCTTTTGATGAATTGACTCTTTTATCATTTTGAAATGTCCTTGGTTCTGGTAATACTCTTTGTGTTTAAGTCTACTTTATGTGATAATAATATAGTCACTCCAGCCTTTGTAAGCTTGCTGTTTGTATAATGTATCTTTTTTGTTTTTGTTAGTGCCGTTGAGTCGATTTTGACTCTAGTGACTCTGTGTGTAGCAGAGCAGAACCCTGCCCGGTCTTTTTACGCCATCCTTTCATCTTCCAGTTCTGTTTCAGACAGTGCTGTGCTACTATTCATGGAGTTTTCATGGCCAGTTTTTTCAGAAGTGGGTGCCTAGGTCCTTCTTCCTAGTCTGTCTTAGTCTGGAAGCTCCACTGAAACCTCTCCAGCATGGGTGACACAGCTGGTATTTGAAATACCAGTGACATAGCTTTCAGCATCACAGTAGCATGCAGCCACTATGGTATGACAACTGCCAGACAGGTGGTGTAGTTCCCTGACCGGGAAATGAACCCGGGTCACAGTGGGGAGAATGTCAAATCTTAACCACTAGACCACAAGGCTGGCCTTGTATATCTTTTACCATCCATTTACTTTCAACCTATTAAAGTGTAGTTCTTGCAGATATCATATAGTTGAGTTTGCTTTTTTATCCATTTTGTCAATCTTTGCCTTTTAATTGGAGTATTTTGTCCATTAACATTGAATGTAATTATTGATATGGTTGGGTATAGGTTTACTATTTTACTGTTTGGTTTCTGTTTGTCCATTTTTTGTTCCTCTGTTCTCATTTCCTGCATTCTTTTGACTTAATTTACTATTTTTTAGAATACCTTCCAGTTATTTTTTAGCTTTTTAAATATGTCTTCATTGCATTTTGTCTGTATACGTGGTTGCTCTACAAATTTGCTTTCTTAACACTTTGCAGATTACTTAGAGCTAATATTATACCACTTCATATACATTAAAGAGGTATTGTAACCAAATCACCAAATTGGTCAATTTATAACCCCTTTCATCCTTTGTGCTCCAACATCACGTGTATGACACCTACGTATGTTATAAACTCCACAAGGTGGTGGTATAATTTCTGCTTTAGACAGTCAGGTTTACTTAAATTACTGGGAAAGAAGCAGTCTCTTGTATTTACGCAATATTTACCATTTCTGATGCTCTTCATTCTTTCCTGAAGATCCTGCTTTCCACCTGGTATTTCCCTTCAGTCTGAAGAACTTCCTTTTGCATTTCCTGTTTTGCTGGTTGGCTGGCAAAACATTCTCATAGTTTTAGTTTATCTGATACAGTTTGCCTTCATTCTTGAAGAATAATTTTTCTGGATATAGAATACTGGACTTACATGCTGCCGAGACCAGCTAGGCAGCCAGCTGCTGAAGGGGCAGACAGACTTAATAGAACACAGTCTATATAGTAGAAAGAACACAATCTATATTATTCAGTGGGACCGGGGACCATCAGCCTCAAGGACTGAGGTGAGGTCCTTCTGATTGCCATGTATTTATTTGCAGGCAAAGAAATACAAGCATAACAGGAATGCATGCTAACAGGGATATGCAAGTCAAAGCTCAGCAGTTCTAGTCTGCCTCCTTTCAACGTACTCCGGCCCTACCCAAGGCCATTCCCTTAGGGAGTATCCTAGGAACAATCAGCAAGTTATGCAGACGGCGTTCCTAAGCCCCTTGCCTTCATGCTTGATAAGATACTCCCTTCTGGCCTTTGATTCCAAAGCACAAACAATCTAGTGTAGTAATTTATGAGAATCAGCAGATCACATATTTCTCAGCCACCCATTTGTAGCTTATTTTTCCTAAGCTTAAAGCCTAGCAAGAATGTTGCTATGATCTCCTGCAACACTTACAGCTTTTTTTCCTCTCTCAGTATATTCAAATTATTGTTTTCTTTATTTAATGTCATATTTTTCTGACTGCTTTCAAGATTTTTTTCTTTATCATTGATTTCATCTAACTAGGAATTTACTGAACTTCTTGAATCTTTTGAAATTTTTGTCTTCCACCAAATTTGGGAAATTTTTAACCATTATTTATTTAAAATATTTTTGGTCCTTCCCTTTCTCCTCGCCTTCTGGAACTCCAGTTATACGTATATTAGCCTTTTGCTTTAGCCACAGATCCCTGAGACTGGTTCATTATTTTTCAATCCTTTTGTTCTCTGTTCCTCAGATTGAGTAATTTTGACTGATCTGTCATCGTGTTCACTGACTCTCTTCTCTCACCTCTGCTTGAAAGCACCATTCTGCTTTTAAGTCTATCCAGTTAATTTTAAATTTCAGACAATAAATTTTTCAGTTCTAGAATTTCAGTTTGGTTCTTTTTTATAGTTTCTATTTGAGCATATTTTCATTTATGTCTTTTAATATAATTTTAATTGCTACTTTAAAGTCCTTGTCTTCTGGTTCTAACATTTGAGTTGCTTCAGAATTGGTCACCGTCTTTGTTTTTTTCTCCTGAAAATGGGTCACGTTTTCTTGGTTTGTGAAGTACTTTTGAATTGTGTCCTAGTCATTGCTGTGATTAGTATGTTGCAGAGACTCTGGGTTCTGTTTTATTCTTCTGAAAAATATTTATTTCTATTTATTTGCTTTAGCAGGTAATTAATAGTTAGGCTCAAACTGCAGACTCTTGGGCTGCAGCTTAAATCTTCAGTTATTTTACCCTCAGCTGGGAGTTTTCTCTACACATGTATGGTTCACAGGTCAGCCATATGTTGGAACTGAATGTATATATAGAATTTAGGGCTTGTCTGTTCTGACTCTATTCTTTCCAGCTTCCCCTCTCACTCTCCAGTGGCTTTCGTTACTTTGCACTCCCTCTACTGCGTCTTCAGGCCAGAAAGACTGAAGATTTTTTGTTAGAGTTTTAGTTGCCCTGCAGGTTATGGATTGAGGCCTGCCCTCAGGCCAAAGGCTGCAACAAATAGGTAACTTGCTTAGTTCCATTCCTTCTTCCAAGTTTTGACTCCTCTCCAGAATCAACCTATTTTTGGTCATTTTCCAGTGCTTTCAAGTGGTTATGTATTTATCATGTTTTTGTCTATAGTTTATAGTTGTTCTGTGCAAGAGGATTGGTCTGATAGAAGGTGACTCAGCCAATATTGGAAGTAGAACCAGAATTTTTTCAACCTAAAAATGTTTGGAAAATATGGTGTGGTGAAGTACAATCTTAATGGTCATCTTATTACTTAAAAAAATTCAGAAAAAGAGAGAAATTATGATGTATATAATACACACACACACACAAATATAGTCACTGAAAGAGCTGGTTTTTCTAACTCCAAAGTCTGCTTAATAAAACGTTAGATTAGAATACATTTCCATTGTAAGCACAGATAGTTTACCATATGTCAGAAGAAAATCCTTAAGGTTAAGATATATATGCAGTGAGATAAAGCCTCTGGGGTTTATTGTGACTATTTTCAGGGAGATTATATTAGCAGCCATTACATTTTAGAACTTATATAGGTTGCTGAAACCTTGGGCTTGTTTCCAATACCAAGTTCTGTCGTGTATTATATGTCTAATGTTTTTTTTACTTCTGAGACATATTTTGTTTTAATTCAGTTAATATATAAAGAAGATAATTTACAGTGTCAAAGTCCTCAAAATAATCAATTTATGATTTAAAAAATTTTTGATGGATACTTTCCAATAAAATTTCCACTTTCTAGGAAATGTTCCCTTCGTGTTTCCTCTTGTTAGCGTTTAGTTCTTTGTGAAGCAGGAGACAAAATCTGTGCTTTGATTTTACTTTAATCTCCGTGCCAGTGGTCTTCCTCCCTGGTCTATCTCCTTTACTTTCTCTTTCTTTCTCTTCCTATCTCTTTAAAAAAATTATTTTTTAATCCTTATGTATAGTTGGGAGGAAGGATTAGGAATGTCGATTACTTATTTGATTTTTTTTCTCTTTACTGCTACACATTATCCATTTGCATAGTCCTTATCCTTGCTTCTTAGGAGTTGTAAAATATTTTAAATGTTTTGCTCAATATGTAGGGAATTTGAAGTAAAAGCAAGGGCTCTGTATACTCTCATTCTATTGGGAAGGTCCTGCTTGTTGAATTTTTAGGTATTTCAAGATGTTCCAGTCAACTGACAAGGACTTCTCCTCACAGTGTGAGAACTGTAGTGATGATGAGAGTAATGCAACTAGCAAATAGTTCTGGTATGTAACCACTTTTGCATGTTTACTTCACCAGAAAACTCTGTGGAGTACAGCGGTATCCTATATTCCTTGTTAAAAATTTAGAAAACCATTTGCATGCTTTCCAAGTAGATTTTGAGGTAATAGTGCTAGTCAAAGAATGGAGAATATATTTTAATCAGATGTAAAATTTTGTAAAGATTAGTGTATCTTCATATCTTAGCTCTTCTAAGCAAGGAAAAACAAAACTTAAACTTGCATTCTTAGAACTTTATGAATAATGTGCTAATTGATTAAACTCTAGATTTTAGTGTATTTCTTATCTTATCTTATTTTATTTTATTTTATTTTTTGAGGAAGATTAGCCCTGAGCTAATTACTGCCAGTCCTCCTCTTTTTTTTTTTTTTGCTGAGGAAGCCTGGGCCCTGAGCTAGCATCTGTGCCCATCTTCCTCTACTTTATATGTGGGACGCCTATCACAGCATGGCATGCCAAGCGGTGCTGTGTCCGCACCCAGGACCCGAACTGGCGAACCCCGGGCTGCCAAGAAGCGGAATGTGTGAACTTAACCGCTGTGCCACCAGGCCGGCCCTATTTCTTATCTTAAAGGCATTATGGTACTATATGCTTTTTTAGTAAAGCAGCATTCACAAATATAAACCATACTCCTTTTTTTATATAGCTTGTCAATGGAGATTTATTTGCTTTTTACGTCTTGTAAACTAAATTCTTTAGTTCTTATGTTGTCTAGATTATAAGTAAATATTGTAGAAAATGTATATCCACTTTGTAATGTGTTTCCTTGGACAGTCTGGTTGTATGAAATGCTTACAGCAGAGTGATCCATGGTGTGGGTTCTTCTCTACAGATTATTAACTAATTCTTTTGGATTGGTTGAGGATAAAGAAGGTAGAATTCTCTGCCATTTTACCATAGCTTATTCTTGTACTTATACAAATGGTGAGGTACTTATTGTTATGAGATTAGGTAGGTTGCTTCTTTGTAATAATTTTTAACTTTTAGATTTAATAACAGCACTTGAAGAAACTTACTTTGATGTATACTTGGGAAAATTTTGTGTGTTTATTATGGCATATATTATGAATAGTATATTGTTACTTGTTGAAAAACACCCTATTATTTTTGGGTCATTTTATTGTGTAGAATATTCTTTATTATCCAGTAGTATAGGCTTCAAAACTCAAAATATTCAATATATTACCAAGGGAGATTGATTAAGGAACAGAACACAATCCGGTGAATTCATTGTTGTAATACATTGCTTTAAAAATGTTATTTTCGTATTTTTAAAGGACATCTACATCTATTTGAATATTCTTTTTTTCCTGTTATCAACGTTTGTGTAATATTTCTTAAGTCATCTAGGGTTGCCATCTTAAAGAAGGATAGCTATAGTTCTGAAGTTTTTTTTTTCTTTTTTACTTGTAATTAATGTAAACGGGCTCATTATATAAATGCAAGGACTTAAAAAACAAAAAGGAAATGATTTACCCAGGGCTATAGAGTCCATGGCAGGCTTGTAACTAAAGCTCAGTTTTGTTTTCTAGCTTTGTAATTTAATCCATACCAAGTAATATTTTCTGTATGGATAACTTTGGTCCATTAACCTAAAGATAATTCATGAATAAACTCTGATATTCTCCCACTTTGTAAATCTGCTGGTATTTTCTTCAATGTAATAATGAAGAAATTATGCTATAGTAACTAATTCTTGCCCCGCACCCTTTTTTTCCCCTTTAGAAAAATTGGAAGCTCCACCACCCACCCCAGGACAGCTGAGATATGGTAATGGTTCTATAATTGTTAAATATTTGTGCATCTATCTTTTGGATTTGAAATAAGTGTATCATTCATTGATAGTACAGGTGTCAGTAAATTAAATCTTTCCAGATAGAGTGGATTATCCTATTTATTGTAATGAAGCAAAATTTTGTAAACTTGGCTTAAGAAGTATCACAATATTATGGAATTTCTAATATTGTTAACTATATCTACTATTGTTTAAATATTATTACCATCTACAAATAGAGATATACTAAGGTAGAGGTTTTCTTAATTCCCAGGAAAAAGGATATGTTTAGTTTGGATTTAAGTTGGGTAATTGCAGAATTAGAATTTCTAGGCTCAAGGTTAGGTAGAAGTGTTCTCTGGTGGAGGAGATACTTCTGGTTTGCTGTTTGTAATAATGAAGAAAGTAAAGTTCATTTAAAACCACTAGGAAGAAGAACCTTGCAATGCTGCTGGTGTTCATTCTTTACTCCATTATCATGGGAATAAATATACAAGGGCTAGCATTGAAGTAATAGAAGACAGTTTGGGATCTTATTATAAAGACAATGGAACAAGAGAATTATTTAACAGTGCAGTGAATGTGAGTAGGTTGTAAGTTAAAGCTAAATATTAGATGTGATTTGCTAACAGCTGCTGAGTTATAGAATAGTGGGAGACCATTACATACTGGAGAGCAAACTTATATGATTTTTAAAAACCCTATTTAATAGCCAGTTCTTTTTTCTCGCAGAGGTAGCTATATCAGAAGTAAGTAACTTGTCTCAATTATCGAAACAATTTAAGAAGTCTTTAAGACTTTTCTTCCTCAGGTAATCTTTTCTGATTCTCCTAGCCTAGATTTATACACTCTATATCTATAGCACTGTGTAATACTATTATCATTTTTTTGGTCATATTAAAATTAAATATTTATATGGCTTTTTATCATACTCAAACTTCTTGAGGCTGGTAACCACATCTTATTTATCTTTGTATCTCACATGCCCAGTGGAGTGTCCAGTACACGTTTATTTTAACTTTTTGAAAATTATAGTTTTTCCTTTGGGTTGAAAATAAATTTTTATTTATAGGACACATTTATTTAGGTCTAAACATAAAAACATGATGTATTTATAGTTCAAAGTCATTATAGCAACGTGCCTTGGTTTCACCGACCAAGTTTTTTACTAGGATAGCAATTAGTCTAATCTTAGTTTAATAGCCTTAGCACCTAATTTTAAGGTATTTGTAACTGGCTAGTTTTAGAGATGCCATCAAATCAACTCCAAAATGTGAAGTACTCCCAAAGGATAGTTACTTTGCCGTGTTTACATTTCAAAGACGATTGAGGTGAATTGGGAGACTTCTCTCAGAGATGTATCTAAACCGCTCTCTCTTCACTGTCAGTGTTTCATTTGTGAATTTTTAAAGTATCATTATACTCTTTTGACCTATCAAATTTGTATTATGTTTTTTGGAAACTAGGATTGTGTGTATGTTTTGGAAACTGCTTATTATAAAATGTTGAATGTCAGTAGCAACTGGACTTAGACAAAAAGTCAAGGAACTAAGACTAGACTCTTTAATTGAAAAATCCCATTTCATTAATGTCCTATTTGACTTTTATCATTTTTAATAGCTTTTAAAATAATAGTCTTTATAATTAAAAAGATGCTGCTTTTTATCTCACTCTTACTTGATAACAAGAAGAAATCTGAAATGACCTAGGATATATACTATTTTCCCTTGATCTTAGCCTTTGATAGTGGTTATAGGTAGAAGTGGTGGTTGTTTTTTGTGGTTTTTTTTTTAATTGCTTGTTAGCTTCCCCTGATTGGTATAGAACTCACTATAGTAATATTAAACTTTCGTAACTACTGGATTATATTTTGGTTATACTTTCTGTAGATTTAACTGCATTAAAAGAAAAAAGACTCTAAAGTCACTGAACACATATAACCAATAGGTTTAAGGGACTGTTTTTTGGATGTAGTATAAAACTCAGAGCTTTGATGTTTACCTAAAAAAAAATCCTCAGTTGAACTGATGTTGACTATACCTTGGCAATTTTATAGGTTCATTAGAATAAAGGTTTTTAACTATCCCCAGTTTTTAATCTGTTTCGCAGTCTGCCTTCAATTCTCTCAATCTGGAATTCTCTTCCTTTCCAGGTTAGTGGTACTCGACTTAATTAACAAATGTTTATTGAGCATCTACTATGCACTAGGCATTCTGCAATGTGCTGAAGATGCAAATATGAAAAAAGATGAGCCTAAGTGTATAAAAAATAAATAGATATTAGTTCTTCCTACTTACACTTCTGTTATCTCCAGCCATTCAGAATATGTATTAGATAGATGAAGTAAGATGCACCTCTGGTAGGAAGAGTCCACGTTATATTTTTATTTAAATCAAGTATTTTTTGTGTATAGTTTGTGAAAGCGTTCAGGGTACCAATATGTTGTGAGAGGGGAAAAAAGACTTTGTACACAGATGTCTAGTATAATTGAGATAATCACATTTTTCTTTAGGAAAAAAAAATCACATTTTTGTTTAAAAAATTGTTTAGTGAGTTAAAAGTAACCAAATAGCTTCCCTGAAATGTGATTCAGGGAGTTTATTATTTTTAATATGGAGATCAATTTTATGATATCAGTCTTTAGGTTTAAGAGAGAAGCAAATTGATGTCAATAGCATTAAACAGGTAAAACATGGTATTCATACTCTATGTATGTGCTTATTTGTTCTACCGTTAACTGTATATAATTTGTATGTATGTGTGTGTTACCAGTAAGAAAACACAAAAATCTAACAATTATTTTTACATGTTCTGTGTTTTTTATTTTGTTTTTTCCCCAATGTAGCTTCTACTAGTCGCTAAACTTATAGCAGGAGCAGAATCTTTTTGCTATGGGGAATAGAAAGCAAATTCCAAAGCTTATCAAGTCTATTTAGGAGACTTTAATCATACGGTCTGTTTTTGTCATTTTATAATTATAGAAACCTTAAAGTATATTTTTCTGTTTTTGATGTTTTTCAGTATTCATCCACAATGCGATACCTTTCATAGGGTTTGGCTTTTTGGATAATGCAATTATGATTGTTGCAGTAAGTTCCTTCTCTCACCCCTTCTATTTTGAGTTAATAAATTAATGTGGTCTAAATTTTCCTAATCATTTGCATATTGTAGCTATAAAGTTTAAATTAACATCACAATGAACAAGGCTAGTTTTTATTGTACTTCATGTTAATTAGACTGTAGCTCAATTTTAAGGCGTCATATATATTAATCATTAAGACTTTTGGTAAAGCATTGGCAATAGTAAACATATTTATTAAGTCTATATTATCCTGTTCTAGTTTCAACATTCTTATTAAAGGAAAAAAGTATGTAAAATTTTCTGATATTCTTTAATTGTATCAGCAATTCTCATCACATATATCTATGTTGATTGGTTCCTTGTTCAGTTTTTCCATGCAAAAATATTTTAAAGGGCGTTTTGATATACAGTCTTTCCATTTAATCCAAAGATATTCTGTTTCAATTCATAACACTGTGAATATATCCCTCTTCTGTCTTTGTTCCAGTGTAATGTTAAAAGAAAGTTCTCTGCTGCGCTCATTTTAACCTAAGGGTGTTCTGTAGAAGTGTTGCTTTAGTCTCGGGGATGCTGCTTTACCTTTCTTACTGTTACATGACATCCTTTGTTAATGGATATCAATATTGGGTCCAGGTCCTAAAGTCAGAAATAAGTCCATGATTAAAATGGAAGTCTTCTGACACTGCTCAGTGCTCTAACTACTTCTCTTCACGGACTCTAACTTTAAAAAAGTCTATAAATTCTAACTATTGTGTAGGAGACTGCTCAAAAAAATGGGAATAATTTTAGGATTATTGAGTGTAAGGAAAATACATAGGAGAGATGCAAGGGTGGTTTTTTTTTGTGTGTTTTGGAGGTTTTGTGTACTACAGTTGGACATAAAGAGAATGTTTGTTTTCAAAATAGGGATAAAAGTGTAAGTTACATTGTATAGATTATAAAATTTGCTTAAAGAATATCTAAAGTTGGTTCATTCAAGAATGGTTTTCTTCGCTGTCTAGTCACACCTTATGTCCAGATTGATGGGGATCAGATATCCAGAAAGTCTAGCCATTCACTTGGTTGAGGAAACTTACAGGGTTCACACAGCCAGAAGATATACTACTTCATAAACAGTCACAGAACATGAGCTAGCAGGCACACAACTTGAGGATGATAAGCACCCATTGGATGATTCTTTCGCAGAGTCTAGCATGAGCCTCTAAAATATAGTTTCAAAGTGCTAGTTTTTTGACTGATTATGACATTTTCCTAATAGGTATAGAAGAATCAAATTGGCCAATTTATATATCTGTGAATGTGAGAAACTTATTCAACCATTTAGAGCCATACTGCTATTTTTGAAATTACTAAAATCTGAGTTAGTTGGATTATTTAAAGAGTTAATGTAAATCAAATCTAATTGTAAGAAAATGCAATTATGATGAATTTATAAGCTGTATTTAAGACTTAATGTGTTCTTGAATAGATTGTCTGAATTACAGCTTCTCTGGGGCAAATATTTCTTTCAGTTTACATGACACACTCAATATTTTAGATTCTCTTTATTGACAGCTAGTACCCCCCAATACTACCGTCTTAATGATCATTTGTTTTTATCACCTCTATAGGGAAGACCTTAGATATTCAAATGCTGAAAGACTATCCTTGCTTCAGGGAAGTGTTGAGATGATGTATTTTGCGTAAAAAGGGGTACAGAAAGGTTTTGAAGAGAGATCAGAATAGAGAAATGAGGTAGCTTCTTAGATACTGAATAAGACCTTCCCAGTGTGGTCTTATCATTTCTTTGAGATAAATATCTAAGTAAGAGATATCTGTGTTTAAATACAGCTACCAACAAAACAAAACACCCACATTCTGGAGTCAAATTACTGTAATGTTGTTTACTGTTTTGTGTTATTCAGGCCTGTGTCTCATTGCTGGTATCACTGAGAGTGGACTATTTTTCCAGGCTGGAGATGCTTGACTCCAATTTAGTAGTGTTTGTTTTTCTTGTTTACATTGAAATCCAGTTTCAGGGACTTATCACTAGTTTTTTATTTATATAATACTCAAATAAATGTTTAAACTACTGGCTTTAATACCTGATTGAGTAATAGGTGTGGGAAAAATATTATCCTGTGATAATTGCAGACTAATTCAGGGACAGGGAAATTTTCCAAAGAGGCTTTGTAATAGACTGCTGAGACTAAAATACATAAATAGTATAACTATGGAATCCATGGAAAGGGAAATCAATGATCATTATTATCTTAAGAATGTTTTTCACCTTTCTATTTTTTTAAACACGGATTGATTGCCTCCTAACGTTGTGGGACAGCCGTCACTGTTTCAAGTTACTTGAGTCTTTTCTATCATGCCACAGGCATCAATGTGTTTTCCTTTTTCCTGTTACTCTCACAGCTGCCACCCTAGTTACTGTCACAAAAACAAATTCCTATATAACTTCTTATAATAGATTTGACCTTTGTTGTTGGCTGCTTTTGATACTAAGCATTTGGTTTCGTAGTTTTTTATTATATTTTTATATTGTCGGGATTGCATTTCATGACTTATATTTTAGTGGTTTTTAAAAGTTGTTTTTCTTACAGTTTAATTAGGATAGAATTTATTAGAATTCTAGAGTAGATTAATTGTATTAAGGTGATGAACCAGGTGTAACTTTTAAGATGACTAGTATTAGATTTATTTATAATTTCTACTTCACCTGTTAACACGAGATTTGGTATAACTATGGGAAAAGTAAAGGCGTGGATAACCCATTGCCTTCACATCAACCCTCACTTTATATGAGGTTTTTCATGCTATTAGAAGGACCTTCAGGCTTCTTAAATTCAGCCAAATGATTAAGCACTTAAATAGTTTTTAAATACATGTATTGCACACAGGTTCTTCGTGGGTCGTTCCTAATGATTCATTGCTATTAAAGATGCTGTATTTATTTTTTATACACTGTAGTTGTCAGGTGCTTCCCTTCTATATCAATGCTCCAGTTCTTTTTTTTTTTGGCCTTCATGTATAAAGATACACATCTTCATTCTTTGGGCTTATTATTTTCTTCTTCAGAAATCTATGTCTTTGGGTAATTCTTTACAAGTAATTTTGAGTGCCTAGGAGACTTGTACATCAGTCTGTTTGGTCCATACTCTATAAGAATTGTATTTTAAGGGGGTGGAAACAAAACGCCTAGAGGAAAGAAAATTGAAGAATACTTAACTCAGCTTCTCTTTAATTTCGTAAATAATTGAGGAAGGCAATATTTCTACATATCAGATAGGGCATTCTTTTTTTTTTTTCTCCACAAATATCATTGAGATTTAAAAATTTTTTTAGAAATTTTCAAGCATCAGTGTTCAAAAGTGTTTTTGAAAATTAAGTCCACTTACAGCAGCATTGCCCAAGGATTAGAACTTAATTAGCACAAAAGATCCTAGGATTTCTTCTTTATTCTATCTAATAACCCATTAGAACAGTTTAGTCTTCTTCACTTCAGTTCCTTCTCTTTAAAGTAGATGTAAAAATACGAGCCCCTCTTTTCTTCAGAAGAATGCGATAGATGTACAGTCTTAAACTCTGTCAATAAGTAAATTCAGTGGAAATATAATGGAGCCTCATTTTTGCTGTAGCTCTATTGTATTAAATGCTATTGTTGCTAATCAATGAATCATAGAGCCTCACTAATTAACAGTTAAAGAACTAAGTGATAGAGGGATAATTTTTGAAGTCTCTGTCTCTTGAGGTTCCTAGAAACTGGTTTAGTGTGTCTTTTTAACCTGTTATAGAGTAAATAACAATCATATAGACATGTCATTGAGAATTTAAAATTTAGATGAGTTAGTTGTCTTTGTGTTCGATGAGCTTTAAAACCTGTTTTCCCTGTGGTAGGAAAATATAAATTCTAGGTTCTTAATGATGAATTGTATTGCCATATGTGTTGCTGTTTTTTTATTTTTATGAAAGCCTAATTTTAGTGAATAAAATGTTGATGCTATTTCTGCATGAATGCATATATTTAATAATTAAGTGAATTACTGCATCATATGTGCATATTTTGTGCATATAATTTTGCCCCAAGAACATGTTGGTTTAACTGTTTTATTTGTTTTTGTTAACGCTTTGCATTTCTTTTATAGTCACTTTAGCTTTAATTTTTAAGATTAATTTCTTTGTATCATTTTTCAGGGAACCCATATTGAAATGTCTATTGGAATTATTTTGGGAATTTCAACTATGGCAGGTATTTAATAATAGTAATGTTATTCCATTGTCTGTATATTTATAAAACATTTCAATAGGTTAGGTTTAGAAGAGGATAATTTATTTGAATGAGTTTACTCATTGAAATCTTTATTAGTTTATCTCCTTAATCCTCTTCCTCTAATTCTTGTGAATGTAGCACTTTTTTTGGTGAGAAATTTTAGGTGCTTTATGTTAGTTAATGGTAACAATAATCTACTATATTATGTTTAAAAAAAGTTCCTCTCTTTATTCGTTGTTACCTCAAAACCTTTCTACTTCTATTACATTGTTTATTTTCAAGTTGGGTAGAAAAATCAAGGAAGGCAATACAAGAATGAAAATCTAGTTTGGTTCTATCTCCTTCTTTCTCCCCCGTTAACCACTCTATTCTTCATGACGGTGAAATTTGGGAATGGTTCTGTGTTATGTTTATTGTATAGAACATAGGAAGTAGATGAGTTAATGAAAGAGACGTCTCTTCTCCTTGATTGTCTTGAATTTCAGAGCTGTACATATGGCTTTATTCTTTAACTTCGAAATATTCAGATTTCCTTGAACAAATATTATCTGAAAGTTACAACTACAAAATATTGTACAGGTGTTTTAATATTGAAGCCAAAATGGAAACTGGCTGCCACAACAGAAGAAATCTGCTGCCTGATGGAGGTGGACTGCTCTCCCCTCAGAAGCCTTGTGTTCTATTTTGAAATCTTGAGATTCATAGCTACCCAATGAGTCACTTTGGATATAGTCGTTGTCATTTGAGAAATGTGATACCTCTTCCAGACCAGTGCTTTATTGATTTTATAGTGATGTATTATAATGATTTTTCTGACTCCATGTAACAATTCACTTGTCCATTTTTCATTCTTTTAGCTGCTGCTTTGGGAAATCTTGTGTCAGATTTAGCTGGACTTGGGTAGGTTCATTCATTTATTCATCTGTGCATGTGTATACTTATTTGTTGTCTTTCTCTTCTCCATTCTCCTTTAATTGAGAAGTATATTAAAAAAAGGGAACATTTATTTTTCTTCTTCTTCTTCTCTCCAAAGCCCCCAGTACGTAATTGTATATTCTAGTTGTAGGTTCTTCTAGTTCTGCTATGAGGGACGCCACCTCAGCATGGCCTGATGAGCGGTGCCATGTCCATGCCCAGGATCCAAACCAGAGAAACCCTGGGCTGCTGACATGGAGTGTGCAAACTTAACCACTCGGCCACTGGGCTGGCCCCAGGGACATTTTTTTAAATGTGTTTTAGAACTAAATTTTTTAATTTAATATTTCTAAATCTTTGGTGTGCATCAGCTATAGACGGTGTAGAAACCTGGGTCACACCCCAGTCATAAGAATTAGTGTCTCTGGGGATAGGGCCCTGACATTTGTGTTTAATAATCTTCTCAAGCAATTCTGATAAATGCAAAAGATTTTTCTAAAACTACTATACTGTAAGCAGAGTTGAATTTTCATTTACTGAAGTATTTATATGTATTTTATAGTCATTTCTAAGTGTGAGACAGGATTAAAAGTAAGAACCCCTATCATTATTCCACCCCACCTCCTCCCACTAAGCCCAAATATAAGAGAGATGGCTCAAATGTGAGCATACTGACTGGGCATGTTTTCTGGAGAGAGGAATTTTCAAAGGGAATAATGGCCAAAGCATACACAGGTTTGGCTGGTTTTTGCTCTTTGTATCCCTTGTGGCAGGAATGATGAAATAAACTGGGAATGTCTACTTAGAAAAGGCCGTCTTTCTTTCTGTCTGTTTTTACACTCTCTCTTCCAAGCGGCAGATGGCCTGGGCTGCTTGCTGAGCTGGGGGAAGCCTGGAAGTATAAATTAGACTAAATTGGCATTAATTATTGTGATAAACATGCTCTCTCTTGCTCAGTCTTTGGTTGTGCTTCTTCCTTCCTTGGTTCATTAGAGTGGTGAGTTTTGAGATTTGGATTTGGGTCTAATAGAAGTCGACTTAGCCCTATAATCTAGGCAAAGGCAGCTTTCTAAGTGATCTAACCCTGTGTACTAGATTTCTGCACTGGAGTTTGGGCCCAAACCTGCTGTTAAAAACAAAGTTTCTTTGCTTCTGGGCCAAGACAGAAATTTTATATTCCTGGAATTCCTGGCGTAAATCTGTGATGATATTGCCTCTTAAACATTTCCATTTCCCAGTTTCCAATATTGAGGTTAATAATGATAATATTATAGCTACTGTATTTAATAGAAACAAATGATCTAAGAGATTTTAAGGTCATTTAGTTTCAGATCACATCATAAAACAATTATTTTTAATTAGAGATAAAGATTTTGTTGAATCTTTATATTTAAGAACTGTTTCTCCTCTGCCTTTTAAAAAAATGTTAAATAAACAAATACTACGTTTTATCGATTCTCAGATCCACAGTTTTTTTTAGAACTTAACATATCTGACTTTGGGATCCATCATATAATTGATTATAGGCACAGTTTAATTGGCAATTTTCTTTCTTACTGTTCATAAAGTAAGATTGTATCTGGTAAATGATGGCAATTTAGAATTGATAAATATTTGAGATTGCCCTAAAAATTCTGGGCTGTTTTCGTTTGTGTGTAAATCTGATACATTTTGGAAATTTTTGCTTTCTGATGACAGTTATTAATTTATACCATATGTTAAAGTGCTTGCTTTGAATTTGGAATAAGTGCATTAATTGTAATTGCTGTAAAAAATTTTTACATTAACTTGAATTGGTCTTTTTAAAGTAATGGTAGAGAATAACTGCTCTAAGTCAATTAATTTACCTATGTATTACGTATATTAATATGAAAATATTTTTAAACTGAATATATTTATACACAAAAAACAAAAGCTGTAAAAAATGTTTACACCATTTCTAGAGTGCCAATTACAGGTTTCTCTTTGTAGTAATTAGTTTTACTATCTGAGGACATTTGTGTCTCTCTTTAAAAACTTATATTCTGTCCTCTTGTATTTTTAAAGACTTGCAGGCTACGTTGAAGCTTTGGCTTCCAGGTTAGGCCTGTCAATTCCTGATCTCACACCCAAACAAGTTGACATGTGGCAGACACGTCTTAGTACACATTTGGTAAGTACCCTATAGGGTTTATGACGTTGGATTTGGGAAGCCAGAACAAGATGCTGTATATTTCAGTCCCCTGAGCAATTTGAGACTAAAATTGATTAGAGTGGCATTTTTAACAAAAATTGTTCAAACCCTGGGAGTTTTCAGAAGAACAGTAAATTTTATTGACTCTTTATTTTTTGTAGGTGTACTTGATTTTTTAAAAATTCTTTATATGATTCAGTTAATGTTGAGGAGTATTAGTTATGTGCTAGAAAGTGAAGAACATAAAATGAATAATAAACTGTATTTCTTTTTGAGGATTGTTTAGGTAGAGAACCAGACATAATTGTTTATAATGTAAACAAATTATAATTTAGTGACAGATGCAGTAACAGAATTATGCACTAGATATAGCAATAGCACAAGTAAGAGAATTAATACTTTGTGGGGAGAAATTTATTTTGGTGGAGAGATTTCATGGCAATTATTTAATCTAAGCTGATTTTTTAATTATCGATGAGACATTTACTAGTGCATCAGAGAATCCCAAGTATATTGACTAGTAAGTAGAAGAGCATGATAAAAACAAGGTGTGTTCAGAGAAATACATGAAATTAGGTCTTCCTGAGATATAATATGTAGTAGTTGTGGATAAAAATAGAAGTAGAAAACAGCATTGGAAAAGTCAGTATTGATCAGACAGGAAAGGTATTTTCCTGTCTGTATAAGCTATACTGAGGAGCTTGAACCTCATACCCAGGTGATGGAGTGGTAGTGAAAAATTTTATATAGGAAGGAAACTGGGGGGATCATGATGCCACCAATTAAGAAGAAAAGGAGGAAGAACAAGTTTGTAAGGGAAGATATGAGTTCTGTTTGGGGCATGTTGATTTGAGATGATACTAGGACATTCAAGTAGTGACACCGAGTAGGCATTTGGATTAAAGGTCAAGAATCAGAGAGGTCTGAGTTAGAGATGATGGGTATTATCATTCATTCATTCAACAAATATTTATTGTTTACCTACTATATGCAGTGTACAGATCTAGGAGTTTTGAATATAGGGTTGACAAAACAAGATCTTTTTTCTTGTGATCTTTCTAGCAAGGAAAAGATAGGCAATTAAAAAATCTGACAAATCTGACAAGCCACCAGTGGCCTAGTGGTTAAGTTTGGCGCACTCCACTCTGGCAGCCTGGGTCCGGTTCCTGGTGTGGACCTACACTACTCATCTGTCAGTGGCCATCTCTGGCGGCAGCTCATATACAAGAGGAAGATGGGTAACAGATGTTAGCTCAGGGTGGCTCTTCCTCAACACAAAAAAAGAGGAAGATTGGCAATAGATGGTAGCTCAGGACAAATCTTCCTCAGCAAAAAATCCCCAAATCGGACAAAATATTTAGTATATTAGAAGTTCACAAGTGTTATGGGAATTAAAGTAAAAAAGAAAGCCAGGCAAGGTAAGAGAGATTGGGAGTGCTAGGATGGAGACAGATTGCAGTATTAAATAGGAGGATCACCACAGACCTCACTGAGATGGTAGGTGATAGTTAGAACCATGGGAGAAGGTGAGATTGTGTAGGGCAGTGGTTCTCGAAGTTTGATGCTAGGATCAGCAGGATCAGCATTACCTGGGAACTTGTTAGAAATGCAAATTCTCAGGTTCCACCTTAGACCTGTCTATTGCTGTGTAACAAATATATATCCATATCCTGCAATTTGTAGATAAATTGAGGTGAAGCTAGCTAGCTAATACCAGCCAGAGTGGTTGAGGAATAAGGATAATCCAACATTCTAGCAATTTGGCTTAACGTTTTAGCACTACAGCTGGGATCAAAAGAGGAATTTTTTCCTGGGGGTCTCCTTTTCTCACTAATTGATAATTCTGTTTTCTTGCTATATTATAAGCAGATCTACTTCCCTTCTTCTATGATGAAAGCACGTCAATTACCGAATTAGTGTGTGTGTATATATAGAGAGAGAAAGCAAGAGAGTGTGTATGTGTGTGTGTATATTTTGATAAATCTCCCACCAGCATATGGAGTGAGTCTATTCCTTAGTTGTTGACTCTGCTTTTTTATGTTAGGATCCAATCTTCTACTCTGTAACATAGCATTTGGTTACATACAACCTGAAGTAGTTGAAGTTAGTGATCAGCCATCTATTCATGACATACACTAACTCTGAAATTCACCCATAATAGAATACCTGCCAATACACATGCAAGTTCCAACTGACATAGGCTGTATTTTAAATCCTCATTTGTAATTTGGTTGTTTGAAACTTGGAAAATTCTTTCTTGCAGAACAATATTATAGATGTACTCAAGTTCTCAGGTTAGCCCTAATGCAGTTAACTGTAGAGCCTAGAATATCATAAATACCTGATAATAATGTATAAGTAGCTGTTTTACAATGGAAAAATATGTTTCAGGTTCTGGATCAGGCAGCCAGAAAAGGATATCCCACTTTTTTCCTCCCTCTCTGCCCTACTGACCTTACGCCTTGTTGAGATAACCGGGTTGAAACTCATTGACTGGCATTCCTAAAGTGAGGGAGGAGGAAAGCTTTGGTTTCCACTGACAATAGTAACAGGCATTCTAACAGAATGGGTGGGCAGTGGAAGTGGAGCCTGTTAGCAATGATTGTTCATTGTATATGGGGAAGTCAGGAATCTAAGATATAGTCTCTCTAAGCAAATGTAAATGAGTGTAAATGTTGTCTAAGGTCAAAATAAGAGTCTAGGATTAATGTAATCAGCATCCGGAATGAGGAAAATTTCTGCTTACTAAAACTGTAGGAGTGGTACCTTTTAAAATTTGATGTGATGAAAATGACAAATCTATCAAAGCACGAGCACACCACCACTACCACTGACAACAAAAAGCCAAATAACAGAATTGAAATGTTTTTATGCAAGCTCTTATCAAAACATTAATGTCTACTGTTGAAATTTGTTAGAAAAACTATAAGATCTGATACATAAATGGACAATGTATAGGAAAAGACATTTTATTCAAGACTGTGCATTATGTAGGTATCATAGCATCTGTAATCTTTGATAGAACTTACTTTGTCTTTCTCTGTATAACTGACTGGAAGTTCCTGGAGGAGAGAGACAGTCCCTGTCTCTCTGGTATTTAGCACAGAGTTTGACACATAGTAGATTCTCTATAAATGTTTGTATGAAGTAATGAAATTTAATTGAAAAGTGTTTGACCTTAATAGTCATCATAGGAATGATTAGGCTCACCTGTGAGGGGACGGACTATAATTAGTTTTTGGGGTGGTGAACATGATGTAATCTACACAGAATTAAAAATATATTACGATGTACATCTGAAAGCTATATAATGTTATAATCCATTGTTACTGCAATTAAAAAATTAAAAAATTTTTTTAAAAACACCAGTTACAAAAATGAAATTTAAAAAATTTTCATGATGTAGGAGAGGTTGCAGAAAAATTGGTGTGTATATGTACATACATATATTATAATTGGTATATGTATGCATTTGCAGTTTTGTCTAGAATTGACAGCATGGCAATACCCTGTGAATATGCACAAGTATTCATATTATTTGATTTTTAAATAAATCATTGAGGAAGAACTATACACAGAAATGTTTATTGTTATACCACTTATAATGGTGAAAAAGCAGCAATGATTTTTAATGGTAGAGAGAGCTTTCAGTAGATTATAGGCTCATCAATTCGGTGGAGTTTGAAAGTTTTTATATTAAGTTTATGAAACAGTTTGGAAAAGAGCTTATTGTAACATATGTGGCTGTGGGCGGAGGATGGAGGCAGAAACCAAAGCTAAGTTTACATAAAGCTTAACCCTATGCATAATGAGGTATCCAGGGGGATAAATATTGAAAAGGAGTATATACGAAGGGGAGCAAATCCAGATATATTGAGAGTACTTGGTGAGGTTTTTTCCTGTCTCTCTGGCTTCTGACATTAAAATATATGTACAATTTTTAAAAAGTGTTTTTCTACTTGAGTATTTCTCTGCTGTTATTTTTGTGACCATTTGAAAAAAATTTCCTGGTTGCTTTGAACTTTAAGTGTTATTTGTTCCAGAACCTTTTTGTAGCTTATTTTAATCTTTAACCTGCTATGATCAAACGAAATGCAGTCACAGTTGAATTTTATAGTACCTGATAATTGCTTAGCAAGGATTCCTCTTACAGGGATAAAATAACTTTAAAACATGTTTTCTTCTTTCCTTAGGGCAAGGCTGTTGGGGTGACTATTGGCTGCATTCTAGGGATGTTTCCTTTGCTTTTCATTGGAGGAGGTGAAGAAGATGAAAAACTGGAAACGAACAATTCAGCCTCTTAGAAAACCTATAAAAGATGTAAACTAATGTACCTCAATTATTAAGTATGCTGTCACAGCATTTAGGAATTAAGACAGTTAACAGTGTATAGATATGGGATCAAATAATTCAGCATGTATTATGGAAAACACTAACTTATTGTGGCTTGGTTTTCTTAGGACATCTTTTTAAAAACCCTGTTTAGTATCTTTGTGTAAATTGTTGAAATGCTTTTTCATCAACGGCAGTCAACATTTTACCTTTTCTTTCCCTTTCTTTCCATATCAAAATATCATTTAAGTATCAGTCATTGATGTCCTGTACTGACTTGGGGTTTGCTTATGTGTTACTTAACGTGTGTGCGTGCATGAAAGCATTTTCTGTTGTTGTTGTTATCGTTGTTGTTCCCTGTGGTTACAGCTCAACCTTAAGATTTTTTTCCAAATTAAGATGTTTAATATCAGTTAAAGATTTTCTTGACTCTTTTTTTTTTTTGGCAACATCAATTTTGTACTGTTTCACAGTAAACATTTACAATCATATAATTTCAGTCATTTTTTTGAAACTCTCACATCTATTCAAAATGGATGCAGACGTTAAGTATTTATTACTCATTTTAATTTTCTGACCTTAGTGTCTCAAGAGCCAAAGGTTAATAAGAGTGAGCAGTTATGGAGTCTCCCTACTACATAAAACCGTGTATGTTAATAAGTGTATTATTTTGAGTTGATGTTTTTACTTTTAATTTGTCGATTTTAAATTACATGATGGTTTCTGACTGCTGAGGGGAAAAATGATTATTTTAGGATATTTTTAATGGGGATTGTGGAATTAGGGGGGAACTAAGGGATTTGACATGATTCTTGGAAATTAAGAGGCTAAAAAATTTTTTTACAAGAAGTAGAAAATGGGAATTGTCAAGAAAGTTTGTGGTGTAAGTGGTGACATTGAAATGATGTTTGCGAAGTTAATGAGATACAAATTATACTGTTTGGGAAAGATTTTTTCCCCCAAAATGTCATCTTCTCATCTGAATTGAATGACTCTGAGTACTCCATTATAATCCTGACATCATTGTATCTTGTTTACTGAATTTTGTTTCTGGATAACTAGTAAGTTTGAGGTTTAACTAAATATTTTATGTTTTGCTTTTTGCTGTGTATAGACTAGTAGTCAAATGTTACATGAGAAGAAATCCTCTCTCCCTGTTTTGGTCTTTTTTCTTCTTTTGGTATTTAAAGCATATTCTAGATTGAAGTTACTTATTTCCAGTCTTGTATATGGCACATAACAACAACAAATATCTGACTTAAACATAACTGTGTATGCATTATAAATTTTCATTTTATGAACCCTTAAAATTTGTTAGTATGTGGTCTATTAAAACATGCTAAAAAATTACTCTTACTTGTAAGAGTAATTAAACACATCGTGGAGGAGAAAAACTGAAATTAAAAGTACCATTTGGGCCACTGAAATTATGAATGTTGGTAAATAGATGCAAAAGAAAGGAAGCTTATAAGATGGCTGTATTTACAGCTACCTTATTTTACAGTTTTATTTGCACATATTTACTTTGAGCTCTTATTTTCAGAGGAGCTGTTTTTCCCCACAAGGCAATTTATTATAAATTCTCTTCTGTGCCCTTCAAAATAATTTAGTGCTGTACTTTAATCATAGATTTTTGATGGGAAAAACAAGAAAATAAGTCATATAACATTAAAATAAATATGTAATGTTGTTATATACAAATAATGTGACAATCTCATTTGATCAAATTAGATTTATAGAACTTGACATCTTAAACAGAATTGTGGTTTGTATCTTCCACATAATACCACATACAAACCAAAAAAAATTTTATTATCATTTCAGATGATAGGATTAGAGTACTTATTTTTTTAGATTTTATTTTTCCTCTTTCTCCCCAAAGCCCCCCGGTACATAGTTGTATATTTTTAGTTGTGGATTCTTCTAGTTGTGGTATGTGGGATGCCACCTCGGCGTGGTTTGATGAGCGTTGCCATGTCGGTGCCCAGGATCTGAACCGGCGAAACCCTGGGCCACCAAAGCAGACCATGCGAACTTAGCCACCTGGCCACGGGGCTGGCCCCTAGAGTACTTATTTTTAAAAACTTTTTGTTTGTAAATGTCCAAGTGCTTTTGTCCCTACCTGGTATATTGCCAGTCCTTTCTGTTTTCTAAAAAAGTATTTTATTGAGGTGCTTAAATTTTCTTCTTATTAATCAAATCCCACATCCACAAACCTTGCCTGTGAGTTTAGAAAGGGCTTTTGATTATTGCTTTCTTTGTTTTGCTCTTGAAAATAACCCAGCCCTCCAGAATCGTTCAGTTTAACTGAACATCTGCAGAATTACTTAAGGTGTCAAAACATGGAATATATACCCTTTGTATTGAAAGATATTTTAACTTATGCACACAGTAAAAATTTGCTTCATTAATTTTCAAAAAATTGAGCCCTTTTGTCTTTAACCTAAGGTACACGTATTTTCAAGATCTTATTCTAAACTAGTATGGTGCTTTGCACAAAGTGATTTCTGAAAAATTGTTCCCTTTAAGATAATGACTTCATATATCATTGTTTCATGTTACTTGTCACAAAGAACCTTATTTCAGATTGAAACTGGAATTCTTATTTCTCATATTAGTCATCTTTGTTGGGGGCACTATATATATGATTAAATGCAACATGAGCTACTTTAGTACTGTTCGTTTGCAATTCATGTTGTCCATGTATTATGATTTATTGACTTGTTGATGCATGTAAATTGGGTATATTTTGTTGCCACTGTATGTTAAATAGTGACCAATGTTTTTACAAAGGAATTGAACAAAAAAAAAATCTTTTAAGAAATTTGGAATGTGGTTTTGATTTTGAAATTTGATTTTCTTCCTAATCGCAGAAGCCCCTGGTTATCCTGTCGCTAAAGGAAATAGAATTAATAAATGCAGGTTTGTTACAGGATTGTGGCAATGTCACTGAGACAGTAAAATGGAACTATTTATCACCTCCCTGAAATCCACACTTGAGATACAAAATTACAGATTATGAGAGAAGAACCATGCCATATTGAGATAATTTGATCTTAATAGGCTGTCAAAAAAAAGCTCTATAAGAGAGATTGGCATAAATCACACTGATGGGTATTTACAGCAGTGATATCCAAGCCTTATATATAATAATGCCTCATTTGCTTACTTCTTTTCTCTAGAAGGTGTTTTGAAGACACTAGAAGTTTATGTTTCACACTAAAAGTTTGTGTAAACCATTTTGAAGTAAATCTTCCTAATTTTAGAATTATATTTTCTCACCATCTTAAAAGAGTGTCTTAAATATAATGTAATCTTTTTCTTAGTGACTAAATATCATCTTCATGGGCATTATTGTGCTGTAATGCAGTACCTCAGGAATCTGGTTTTTGTAGTTTCTCACTTTCCTCCCATTTTTTTGCTGCTCTCACTTCTGGCAACTGCTTTATCTTTCTAATTTGCTGCTTCTTGGCTGTATGGACTTAGAAACTAGGTAGCCAATCTTACCATAAATTATTTGGAAAGTATTAGACAGTAAGCTATGGAGCCTCAATGAAATGGTGATGATGGTGATGATGATGATGATGATGATGATGATAAGTATAATGTTAGCTCCCTATTAAGCACTTATTTGTTGCTATGTACTGTAGTATTTTACACACAGTACACTTAATCATTTTAACAACAACGTTAAGTTGGTGCTGTTATTATCCCTATTTCATATTGGGCAAATTGAAACATGGAGAGGTTAATTTGCCTGTGATGTCACTACTAGTAAGTGGACTGGAATCCAGCTTGGTCCAGGTGTAAAGCCTGTGTTCTTGACTGCTGTGCAGTAGGGACATCAGTTGCACGGGCTTTGTAATGTTTGTTCTCTGCTTCCTTTTTACCTCTGTAGAGTCATCTTCTCATCTATAACCTAAGGGAATTGTACTTATAATGTCAAAGTCCGTTTAACAAATCCTGTGTTTTTGGATGCGTACTATGTGCTAAGAGTTCTATAGAGATAAATGAAACGATAAGGGGAATAGAAAGTACCAGCAGTCGTATGTAGGGGGTTATTTTTATACAAGGTGGTCAGGGAAGACCTGAAAGAAGTAAGAGCTTAAACAATAGCGCAGGGAGAAGGTGTCATGCTAGATTCTGGAGAGTTGAGGTTAAGAAAATCTCTGTCATGAAGTATATTTCACTTTTGAATGCGTTGTAAGATGGTTTCTTGTTTGTTTTGCATTATTAATGTTTTCTAGGTTAAGCCTAAAGATTAAGATTTGAATATTAAGAGTAATACTCCCTGCATATTTACTGACAGCAGTAGAGGGAAATGGCCCAGAAGCATGGTGAAGCTGCCCTGGAATTCATAAAGTCAGTGGATAATCCATCAGCACATAATTTAGGGTTTGTCGTGTGCTCGTAGTGAAACCTTACTAACAGATCACTTGTTTTTCCCAAAGCCATAAATGCTACTGATATATGAGTTGTAACACTGAGATTCGTTTTTTCTCCTTTAACTTTTAGAAATGGAGTAGTGATTAAAGCGGGATACATAACATTTTTTTGAAGTTTCAGGACTTTCAGAGTCTACTGACCTTGTGCTGACAGCCATATGAAGCACATGGTGTTTTGTATTGGTTTTTATAGGAAATTTTATAGCATCAAACATAAGTTAATGCCATTGAAAAGTATATGAATGAAAGAAATTTGAGCAGGTTTTTTTGTTGGCACAAAGATTAAAAAGGTAGAGTAAACGTCTGAGAGATTATACAATTTCCCCACTACTACAAGTCAAACTTTTTGTTTAAATGAATAAAATGTGAGAATGATGACTGAAGAGTTAAACTCAAAGGAACTACTTTTGGGGGGAGATTAGAACCCTCAAAAACTGTAGGATAAAGGAATTTTCTGTGGGAACTGTGAAATTCAGGAAAGACTTGGCATTTGTTAATAATAGGAAAGCTGTACATTTATATGATGCTTTATCGCTTATAAAATATTTACGTAGATACTAGACATAAATGGGGTTTAGAGAGGTAGCTGAGTCAAAGAAAACTGTTGGGTACCTTGATTAGAATTAAGATTTTTCCTTCTTGCATGTCAACCCCACCACCACCATTCCCACTTTGCGGTGTGTTGATTCTTCTTTATCTTTATGTCTCAAGAGCATTTGTTCTCTTCCTTATTTTTTTCTTATTTTCCTCAACCTCAGACTGATGGAAATGCAGTTTTTAGAATGTATTTTATGTCCTACACTGTTACTTTAAAAGCATGTAAATCAAACATTTTCTCTTTCCCACCCCCGATTGGGAGGAGGAGAACAAATCTTAATTAATTTAGTTCATTCTTTTATTGTTCACAGCTTTAACTGTTCTTTCTTCCATACTGACCCAGGTAAAGAATCCACATTTCCTAAGAGGAAGAAGACGTCACTGATTATGCTTTAAATGTCAACACCCCAAAGGATGGGATCTCATCTCTCTTGCTTACTTCTCTGTCCTTAATGGCTCCGTACAGTGCCTGACGCACGATAGATGTGCAGTAGATACTTGTGTAATGAATGAATCGTTGCTACCCACATCGCTATGCTCCTCTCTCCAGGTACTTGAATTCAGGCTTGACTCCCAGCCCATTTTCTATCAGTACTAAAAAGCTGCATCACTTCCTATGTCACTTTCTATATTACTTCTGAACTTAACATATTTTGCCTCAGGTCGATTGGTTCATCTTCTACTGGCAGTTCTCTAGGCCTCTGTTGTGTAACAGATAGTCAGATGCTTAATGGGAAATTCAATATGTATATACCTTCCCTGTTCTACTGATTATCAAGGAAACATTCTTTGGTTTGACATGGGTTATTCTTAGTGAACTTGTCTTGGGAACCAGTGGTTGTCACTTTACTTTCTGTTTAATCTGTTCTAATTTTTTTGAGAACTAATACTCTTTGAGGATTAATATCAAGTATATTAGCATACAATTTTTAGAACCTATTTGTTCCCCCTTTCTTTTCTGAACATAGCATTATTTACCTACCTCTCGGCTTAGTGGTTCTTTTACTGATTTCATGATTTCACAGAGAACAGTTTTGTCTTAGTATCTCAAATTCTTTTAATATTGCAAGCCAAAGATTTTTAAACTTTTTGGACTCAAGACCCCTTTACACTCTGAAAAAAATATCGAGGTCTTCAAATAGCTTTTGTTTATGAGGGTTATATAAATATTTACTATATTAGAAATTAAAACAGAAAAATTACAAAAATATTTATTTACTAATTTATTTTAAAATAACAATAAACAATTTCATCATAACATAGATAATACATATTTTATGAGAATTATTTTCCAAAAAAATAATTTAATGAGAATAATAGCATTATTTTACATCTTTTTGCAAAGCTTTTTAATGTCAGGCTTAATAGATTACAGCTGGATTCTCATATCTGTTTCTGCATTCATTCTGTTTGCTATGTTGTTGTTTTTGAAGTAGACGAAGAAAATTCCAGCCTCACACAGATATGTTGTTGGAAAAGGGAGGAATATTTTAATAACCTTTTTATGTAACTATAGATTTATTCTTGGACACTGTACGAAAATTGAACACAGGGTAATTTTTAAATGGTTAGTTGCAGTGCAGAATCTAAAAGCCTATCAGTGAAATTTTGCACTGAGTTATGTTAAAACCCGTTGGTCTGCCTTGCACTTTGGCTGAACATTTTTCCCGTGGATGATTTTATAACCTCCTGTGTTCAGCATTTGGAAACTGTTGGTTCACTGAGTTATGTAGATCTTGCAAATGTTAATACATTTCACCATATAAAATAAAAAGGCTTGTGTAACATGACCAGCAATCTATTTTAAAAAGCCTAGTAAGTATTGAGAAGCTGTCATGTATATGTGTAGATGGCAGATACGTGTTTTCCAAAATTCTGATTTTCACTTGAAAGCTTAAATTTTATCATTGAGAACACATACCATTAGATTTCCTTTAAGCGACCGTTCACTTTGTTCATGTTTGAGAAAATATCTGCCAAATACTCACATCTGAATAACCTGGTTTATTCATCTCACAACTCAAAACAATCTCACAATTGCTTTTCTTCAAGACAACCATCATATTTTGGTATCTCCAGAAGTACTTTGTGCACACTTTTCATTTCTTCATACAGAATTTTAAAAAGACATTTACTCAAGACTCAAGATTTAAAATAAATTATTTGTACTGCTTTATCAGGGACATTGAATGAAATTTTTTCTGCAAGTACACGGCAATAAAGACTACAACGACTACTCGTGCCTTTATTCATTCTAATGTGCTGGTGCTTTTACCCACCGTTGCTTTTGCACCCTCAGTGAACATGACACCACAATGAAAGGTAAATATTGTCTTTGTATATTATGTAAATAGTTTTGACTCAGGGACTCCCTAAAACACTTCCATACTTTGAGAACTGCTGCTCTGAACTTTCCTAATTAGTTTAGATGAGATTTAGCTGGAGTAACAAACCTCTAACAGTAGCTGAAATGAGATGGAAATTTATTTCTCCGTCATATAAAGTTATTGTGACATGTTGTCCAGGGCTGGTATAAGGGTTATGCTCCAGAACTAGTCAGAGATCCAGATTCCCATCTTCCTGCTTCATTGTGTATAGCTTTTATTCTTAAAGTCACTTAATGTTCTCAAATGGCTGCTTCAGCCCCAGCTACCACATCCACTCTCTACCCAGGAAGAAGGAACTAAAAAGAAAGGTGCAAGGCTTAAACCAACTTTAAGTTTCCACATGACTTACCTACTTATCTATCAGACCTCCATCACAAGAACAAACTGAGCTGAAAGAGATGCCTGTAAATCTCTCTATTCTGTTTGGCCAGGTGTAGAGCTGAAAATTGGAAGAAAGGAAGGATATCTTTGGGGAAAACTAGCTATCTACTACCGTCCACC